TGCACACTATTCATAGTTTTCATTGTTCCAGATTTGATATCATTATGTTGAATTATAAGCATTTTATTTGGGGGGTGTTCCTCTAAATGTATTATGTCTTAACTTTTGGAATTCTTTTTTATGTAGAAACAACAAATTTTTTATGTGTTGGGTTTGTATTCTCCAGTGTTGTAAATTTCTTTAGTTTTCACAGGTTTCTTTTTATTTTTTTAAAGATTTTATTTATTTATTTGACAGAGATCACAAGTAGGCAGAGAGGCAGGCAGAGAGAGAGGGGGAGGCAGGCTCCTACTGAGCAGAGAGCCCAATGCGGTGCTCAATCCCAGGACCCTGGGATCATGACCTGAGCCAAAGGCAGAGGCTTTACCCCACGGAGTCACTCAGGTGCCCCTTTTCACAGGTTTCTAACAACAAGGATTCCCAGGAGAGGAAAATGGCCTTGGAATGGGGGACGCTGGACTCATCACATCTCAAGAACACAATTAGATAAGTACAAAGTCACCCTCAGTACTCCAGAAATGGCCATGAAGACTGACAGATCATACTCCCCAAGTTAAAGGGGAGAAGAGGCCACATCATAGATGGCAGAAAGTTTGGAGACATGGTTGAGGGAGGGAAGAATTACAGTGCTATGGAAGGCAGGGATCCCTGGTTGTGGAGAAAGTGGCATGACAGAGGGAACGCACAAGGAGAATGTTTCTCCAAAGCCCCTGGCTTGGAAAACAAGAGGGGTTGAATTTCATGAGTTCTTGGAACTAGCAGGTCTTAAAGCCTAGAGTTTTAAAGGTCAGCAGGCTTGGCTGGGATAGAGCCAAGAAGGTGCTGCGCTACTCCTGGTGAGAAGGAAGGCAAGGAACCTGGGTACAGACAACCTGCAAACAGTGATCAGAGGAATGACTGGGGGACAGAGTGGGAAGATTATTCACTAGTCTAGGAGTGTTTCCCTGTGAGGAAACATTCAGTGAGATATGTATCTAAGAACACAGGAGTTAGATGGCACCATTTCCCTCTCCTGCCCTGTAGCATAAACGTAGAGCAGTGTCCCAGTGTCCCAGTGTCCCAGTATCCCAGTATCCTTGTCAGTGAGGACATTGGCGGTCTGGCTTGCTTCCTAAGCCACAGGACCCTGTGCTCTGGTTGACTGACCTTCTCAGTCTAGCTTACCTCAGGCCCAGAAAGGTAGGCCCCTGCCCACACCACATCTCCTGAGCAGAGCAGAGAGTTCTGCACAACCTCCATTCTGGTGGAGGTGATTTCAGGTCTCATTTCACAGACCAGAGCTCACCTAGTTAAAACTGACCACACTCAGACCTGGGAGCAAATACTGTCAACAGAAGGCAAAGAGAGCCTCTGCGGACCACTGACTAGAAGGATGTAGCAGGACACATCACTCGCTTTTCTAACACAGAGAGGAAGGCGGACTTAGACAAAATGCCACGATGGAAGAATTTATCCCAGAAGAAACAAAATACGGCCATGGCCAGAGATCGAAGGGATGCAGTTATCAGTAACACACGCAATGGAGAATTAAAGGCAACAATCATAGGGATACTCACAGGTTTGAGAAAAAAGTGCTGAGAACTTTACCACACAGACAAGAGTTAAAAGGGGAAAAATGGAGTGCACGGGTATCTCAATTATATCTGATTCTTGGCTTAAGCTTAGGTAGTGATTTCAGGATCCTGGGATCCAGCCCCAGGTCAGTGTCAACATTCAGTGGGCTGTCTACTTGATATTTCCCTCTCTCTCTGTAGCTCCCATTCATGCTCTTTCTCTCTCTCTGTTTCTCTCTCAAATAAATAAATTTTTAAAAATCAATGAGATAGGGGCGCCTGGGTGGCTCAGTGGGTTAAGCCTCTGCCTTCAGCTCAGGTCATGATCCCAGGGTCCTGGGATCGAGCCCCGCATCAGGCTCCCTGCTTAGCAGGGGGTCTGCTTTCTCCTCTCGCTCTCTGCCTGCCTCTCTGCCTACTTGTGATCTCTGTCTGTCAAATACATAAATAAATTCTTAAAAAAAAAATCAATGAGATTAACAATGCAATAAATGAGATTGAAAAGAGGATTGATGCAATAAACATCCAGCTGGAGGAAACAGAGGAAGAACTTTCTGACCTCAAAGACACAAAAAAGGAAAATAATGAATCTGAGCAAAAGAAAAGATTTGATTTAGGGAACTCAGTGACTACATCAAATGTTGTAACTTTCCTAGGTCTTGGGCTTTTCTGTACTGGGAGAGTTTTGTTTCCAAATATAACTTAAATTCCTGTTTCTGGTGTAAGAAAAGTTCCCATTTATTTGGCAGAGAGTTGATAATTCAGTCTTAGTAACTTGTGCAATTTTAGGAATTATCTATTGTTGTTGTTATTGTTTTTATTCCTAAGTTATCTGATTTGATAGCTTATAAATGTTGACCAAGTTAAAGCACAGCCATTTTTAGTATTTCGGGGAAACTGGGCATTATATTCAGTGTTCTGTTCCTAGTCTGGTCTTTATTTTATTTATTTCAGATTTATCTTTGTTACTTCTTGTGCTACTACATTTCATCTAAGTTTTTTCCTTTCCTTGTTTCTCATGGAAAGTTAAGTTTTTTTTATTTCAGCTCTCTCTCTCTTTTTTTTCTTTTTAAAGATTTAATTTATTTATTTGACAGACAGAGATCACAAGTAGGCAGAGAGGCAGGCAGAGAGAGGAGAGGAGGAAGAAAGCTCCCTGCCAAGCAGAGAGCCCAATGTGTGACTCAATCCCAGGACCCTGAGATCATGAACTGAGCTGAAGGCAGAGGCTTAACTCACCAAGGCACCCAGGCACCCTTCCAGCTCTTTTTTTTTTTTTTTTTAACCTCAGCCATGTATTACATAAAAAAAATTTGAAGATGGAAAGTGTTATAGGCAATGATTAGCAGAAATAAACAATACAAACAATAGAAAAAAAAACAAGGAAAAATTAAATTAGGATTCTTTAGGGTCTTTCATAGATCATGTCATCTGTGAACACAGATAATTTTACTTTTTCTTTTTTTAGTTTGGATTCTTTCTATGTGTTTTTTCTTCCCTAATTGTTCTGACTAGAATGTCCAGTACCATTTTGAGAGGCAGTGATGGGGTTACTTCATTACTTCATTTCTGATCATAGAGGAGAAGCTTACAATCTTTACCTATTGAGTATGTTGGATTTTTTCCTATTTGGTTCATTTCAGTTTTATGTTTAAATAACCATCCTTCTAAT